GGTACAGGCCAGAGGTGTGGAGGGTGAGAGGATTCACCAGAGACAGAGTGGGGAACAGAACAGGTGGATCCACTGAAATAAACTGCTGAGAGGAGCAGCAGGCGAGACAGGAGAGGTCTGCTGTGCCATGTGGGTCACCTCATGTTGCAGTAGCTGCAGAGAACTTCATAGTTCCGCATCTTAACCTGTTGTGCCGCCAGGGAGGCCCCTGTATAACTTCTTATAGTGCCTATCAAAATCTTAAATGATATATACTATAAAGTATGTGTATAGTTACATGTAGCATATGTTATAAATGATATAAATATTATATATATATATCAAAAGTCTGACAAGATGAAAATCACAAGCAGGAACTACACCCACACAATACTTACTAGCTTCTTCTCTGTCTTGTTAAAGGAGGACTCTTTGGATCTAACTGGGAATGTGGCATGGGGTGTATCTTCAGTTTTGTCATATCTCTAAGTGGAGACAAACTCTTCTCAAAGTTAGAGATGCTTAGACAATAATGGTTAAGTATTTTGTATTGGGGGGACACTTTGAATTAGCGAACATGAGGAAATTTATAGTACAGCTAAAAGTTGGTTGAAAATATCTTGCAAACAACAGCATAACTTGTAGTTATCGCAAATGGTCGTTTGTATCATTTATCTTGGGCTTAAGTAGGGCAATGTTTTTCTGTATCTCTTAATTATCTGATTGCTTCTGATGAGCTTAAGTATTGCCTCTTCTTGAGACTATTGGGAGTCAGTGTGCCAGAAAGATGCTACGAGCAGTAGATCTTGGCAAATCAAAGGACAAGCAGACAGCAGCGAGCTTAAAGGAGCAGAGACATAAAGCTGTTTTGCGACGAGGATGGGATTCGAACCCACGCGTGCAGAGCACAATGGATTAGCAGTCCATCGCCTTAACCACTCGGCCACCTCGTCACAGTCCTGGTTGGTGTTACTTCTTTGTATCCCTGTAATTTGTTCTGTAGTGCCCTGTCTGATTGCTTTCCTTCAGATTTAATCCTGATCTATTCTTCACAATCAGGTATTTTAGGTACATTTCACAGCAGCAACAAGACTGAGAATTGACAATGATTCAGTGACTTGGCACATATAAAATGAACAGGTAAAACCTGTCCTCGTGTATCTTACATACATAGGTCCTTTTTAAACACACACATGAATATAGGCAGGATTTCGAGCTGTGGCTGACACCTCTGGAACGAGCTGCCCAGTTTTTCCCCAGAAACCGGGGTCCCTTTGGCCCTGCACTATGTATTCCGGCACCAATTTCCTACCATCTGACTTGAGCATCTCCCAGGTTCCTGTTTTCTGGGAGGCATTAAGAAACAAGACCTGAAAAAAAAAAAAAGAAGAAGAAACAAGACCTGGCTTGGTTATGTTATGTATGAATCAAAACCAAGATAAAAGCTTCCATATTAACCTCCCCATGGGTCTCTCACTCAGGAATCTATATAAGTAATAATATAATAATAATTATCATTCATAATGATAAATTATGAAATGAATGGGGGAAGCAGGAATTCTTAGTAGCATGTGAAGCACTGACTATAAAAATGAGGGAAGGGCTGGAGCTGGAAAATCATCATTTTGCAACCATCATGATAAAGATCACTTCAGAGGGTAGATGTTAAATCTTGGGGGAAATTTTGATGAGGAATGGGATATGGACAGTCTTGTCTCCCACAAACCAGATAGAACAACTAAATAGAAAGGTGGACCCTAGACTGGATCCTGGGGGGCAGGAGGGAAAGAGGGGTGGATGGGGTCAATTAGTCAAGCTGGAATGCAGACTGTATTTTAATTAAATACAACGATTGTATCAATAAATATTCCCTGAAGTTTATAAGACAACTGTGGTTATGCAGTAAAGTGTTTAAGGGTAAATGAACATGATGTATGGGCGAGAAAAGAAGCAAATGGAGTATAATGTTAACAGAAGCTGAATCTGGGGCTATTTTTTATTTTTTCTGTTTAATAAAGTTGAAATTGTTTCAGAGGGAGAGAAAGTGAAATTGTAATGGAGGCACCTGGGAAATCAAAAGCTGTGGATTTGGGCCTGGCCAGAACTTTTTTTTTTTTTTTTTTTTTAATATGGTAAGTTACCTGTTCATCCGAGGAACAAATAACTCTGCCCCCAGGTTCCCCACGGATTGGTTGCGGAGAAAAAACCCTCGCCCGCTCACCTCGCCCAAAAGCCCCAGACCCGGTTGCGGGAGGTACAGGCTGTTGGGCATCAGTATTCCAGTTGTCCTAAGCGATGGATCCAAGACTTGGTGAGCTCGCAGTCTCGTTCCCTGTCACCGCCACGAAAAGTTCAGCGAAATACTTTGGTTTCCGGAAAGGAAGATGATTTGAGGGTCTTTGTTTCCTGGGAGGCGGTGCTGGGCGCGGAAACCGGAGCGCGCGCCGCAAGCGGGCACCCCCTTGGCCCGCACCCCTGCTCCCTGCCGCGCGCTGTCTTCCCAGCCCTGACAGCTTCCACCTCCCGGGGTCCTACGCGTGGAAAGAGCAGGAATTGAATCTGGAAAGGGCGGGGGACAACAGATGGAACCTTTCCAGCCTCCTTCCTTTTAGAATCTCACTCTGTTGCTTTCTTCTGACGTCCTGCACGGTCTGTTTCGCAAATGGGAAAACTTGTATTCATGTTTCCTCTGCAATTTCCTAACTTTTTAAGGGGCTAAGAAATAATGGTTATAAATCACGAAAGGAATCCAAAGTGAGGCTCTTACAGCTGGGGGTGTAGCTCAGTGGTAGAGCGCGTGCTTAGCATGTACGAGGTCCCGGGTTCAATCCCTGGCACCTCCAACGGTTTTGCGAGGTGGTCGGTCCCTGCTCAGTCCGCATCTTCCTTTAAACCGCATGTCTTTCTTTCCGCTTTCTATAATTGCCATGATCAGGTCCATTTTCCTTTCGTTTCTCCCTTTAAATCTAGGTTTTCTTTCATTGAATTTTTCTGTCTGCCTCAACTACCTTTTTAGTGCCCAATTTCTGCCTTTTGTCGCCTCCAGAAATGTCTGGAACCTATGTAACGAACATTTTTGCAATTGGCCTGGCTTCTTTGAATTCCATACTAAACACAGAAGAGAAGAATAAATAACAGCCTCAATTTCATTCACTTTTTGAATTCCGAAGAATTCAAAAAGAACACAGTGGGGATGGAATAGCACCTCCAATTAGAAAGAAAATATATTGGTTAGCTCAGAAATTTTGATCACCCAAAGACATGGCAATTATGTGCCAACAAGAACTGTAGGGTTATATGTCCAGTGCTCTGTCATAATATATGATGCCTTTCCAGCCTGAACTGTGGATAATGCCAACTGAATGATCAGAGTCCCCCATCTAATTCCACCTCATGGTTGTAGCAGCTATGGATAATTGTGACCTGCATGCACCATAACAGTATCAGTGGCAAAATGTTGGCCCTAATTTTATCACTACTCTTGCATTTCTTAGCTATGAATCGTCTGTAGAGAAAATCTTTCATCAGTTATATGTTTATTCTGAAACACATTCTATATGGCAGAGGTAGAATAAATGCTTGATTCTTTTCCTTTATTTTCAAAAAAATGAGTTGATATCCATAACACCCTAAAGTTGGATGTTGGAAGACTGTGTGTGTTATTTGACAACTAGATTCTTTACTAAAATCTCTATTTGTAGTAGCTTTTCCATTTTGATGGTCGGTTTCCACATACATAATACTACCAAGATATATATAGAGTTTCAACCTTTCTATTTAATATTTAATCATCTGATTTTTTTAATGTTTAAATGCCTTGATGTGAATCCAATAATCAATTGCATATCAACAAAGGTGAGATAAGTAGACATCATATGTCCCCTTACACAATGCAATAGATATTGGGTAAAAAAAATTACTACTTTGTCCATTTTAACACATGGATCCATCTATTTATAGTAGATATTGGAAATATATGAATATGTTTAATTTCACTGTAATCAGTCAAACTGAAGGTGTGGGAAATACTCTGTCCCTTAATAGATTGAATGATGCCCTCCCCCTCTCCCCCCACCATTTCCCATAGGGGCTGGACCAGTCTACCTTCCCTCCAGCAGTGTAAGAGAGGTATACCACTTTCTTAATTAGAAATCAACGAATTCAGACATCTGGAAAGACTAGACTTGGCCAAGTAAACAAATGTCACACTTTCGTGGGCCAATTTGAACTTGCAGCAGTGGATCACTGTGCTTCTCGGATTTCATCCCAAGTTATGGGCACCCCAGATAACTATCCCACAGTGATTTGCTAGGCTTGTAGTGGGCACCCTGATGACCAGCAAGCATATCTTAAGCAGGATCTGCGTGTCTGCAATGCATTAGTTGATTACCAATCAGCTAAATTAGTTTTACTGAATTTACTCTTGTCAGAGGTGCACAGAAAAATGAGATCAATTTTTCACCGTGTAGGGCTCCTTCGGCCTCCAGTGACACTGTAAATGGACATGGGTCAGTCGTGCTATATTTGATGATTGTCCTGGAGACAGGAAGTGTAAGGGCCACCAATGTTCCGCGGCTTGGACAGAGCTACAGAAACCCCTCTCCCTGGTGCTGACAGCCACTGTGCTTGCTGGAGTGTACAAGACCAGTCCTTTACCCAGCTGCATCCACTGGTTCAACTTTGTGATATGACATGAAATTTCCCAGTGTTTTGCTAGCCATCCAAGATTATATTTTTTTCTGAGCCAGCTATTCCAAAAGGCTCTTGAGCTGAATGACTTATCGTCATGGTCCAGGCAGGTAAACGCCAATTTTGCAATTATTTATTCTGAGCTGGATCTCTTTAGATAAATCTAAAGACTTAGGTGACACTGATTTACACAAATCTTATCTGACACTCAATATGTGTGAAATTCTTATAATTCTCACACATTAAACTGTGAAAACGTTCTAGGGGGGCAAGTTGAACATATATTTATTTATCAGAAAAGTATTTTCATGCCAGACCTCCTTCAGGGTATCAGGAATATAGCTCAGTGGTAGAGTGCATGCTTTGCATGTATGAGGTCCTGGGTTCAATCCCCAGTGTCTCCAACTACTTGTTTTAACGTGCTGGATCTTGATGCTCACTTGATTCTCAGGACTTTCTATATTTCTGAGTGATTTAAACTAAATCACACTCATCCTAGTTTGAAAGTCAAATATATTGCTGAAAAAAATTTGCTTTGTTTCCTCTGCCTGGGCCACTCAGACGTAGATGCTGTAACTCTTATCAACATGGGAACTTGGAGGGCTAAAGAGATTAATTTCAATTTTTGCCTTCTTCCTCTCCCCACAATTCTTTGACTCTCTCACTTGTGCTTCTATCTTACCAAACTGTAAATAAATATTTTACTTTTCATTCCTTCTATTTTAGAATAGATCATAGTCAACAGTTGAATAGAACACATGCTATTGATATAAGTGGGTGAAGGCAAGACTAATTTCTTTTTTTTTTTTTTTTTAATTTTCTAGAGGCATGTCTTATTTATCTATTTGTTTTGTTTGTTTGTTTGTTTTGGTTTATACATGCACTGGGTACAGTCAGAAGCCGGGAGGGCGAGAGAATTCACCAGAGCCAGAGCCGGGAGTAGAGCAGGCAGAAGGACCGAAGTACACTGCTGAGGGGAGCAGCGGGCGGCAGGAGAGGTCTGCGCGCCATGTGGGACCCTCCTCTGGTGGCCGGGGAGCAGCCGGGGATCGAACCGGCGCCGCAGAGGCCGCGGGCAGCTTCGCAACCCAGCGCTCAACCGCTGCGCCACCTGGGAGGCCCAAGACTAATTTCTTATTAGTTGGCTGCCTGAAGCTCAGAATGGGACTAGGAGACTTTGTAGGCAAAGAACAGAATTTAGATAAGTGGAAAGAGTTAGAAATGTGTGCTCACACCCAATCTGGACATTTAGAGAGAAACTTGAGCTTAAGACTCAAGTTCCTTCTTTGCTTTTCTTGGGGGTACCTGTTAAGATAATCAAAGAATTGACTCTGTAAAAAGTTAGTGACTTCCACTCCACCCACTTTATAAATAATAGGCCCTTGCTACCCTGCTCTCCATTTCTTGCTTGCTGATGAACTGGAATGAAAGACTGACTTTCCCTCAGCTTATTGGGGTCAGTTGACATTTCCACATTTGGTATGAGTATGCATACAAGACTTATGAGTGAAGGGAGTGAATGAATGTCATACTCTCAACTAAAATAAATAATGGTAGATCTTGCCTGTTCTGCTCCCCACATTCTCTGGTGAATCCCCTCACTGAACCCCCACCCCCACCCCCAGATCTCTGGCTTACACCCCAGTTCTTGTATGCATAAATAAATAAATCTTTAAAAAACAAAATAAATAATGGTAGCTCTTCCATGAGTTGGAACTAGCTGTGAAAGATGTTTCTAAATTCCCTCCAGAACTCATTTTAGTGCTCTCACATCCAGAAATATAACTTTTTGGAACTGGTCAGCTGGCCCAAATCATGACTCCTCCCACCAGATCCCTGCCTCAGTGGTCTTATTTAAATTACATAGGTGGTGCAAGGGATTAAGTCTCAGCACTATGAAGCTTTTAGCAGCCACTGCCACATGAGTTCGATCCCCAGCCAAGGGAGGTGACCCTCATGGCACAGCAGACCTCTCCTGTCTTGCCCCTGTTCCCCTCAGCAGTTTATTTCAGTGGATCTGCCTGTTCTGCTCTCCCCACTCTGTCTCTGGTGAATGCTCTCATCTTTCCACACCTCTGGCCTACACCCCAGCTCTGTACAAATAAATAAATCTTTAAAAAATAATAAGGGCCTCCCTGGTGGCACAAGGGTTAAACACTGCACTATGAGCACCCTCTGCAACATGAGTTCAATCCCCAGCTGGCCAGGGGATCTCCTGCCTCTGTTCTGTTCTCCACTCTGTCTCTGGTAGATCCTCTCACCCCCCCAACATCTCTGGCCTGTACCCCAGCTCTTATATGCATAAATACATAAATCTTTAAAGAAAAATAGAAAAAAATAATAAATTACATAGGAGTAGAACAATAGTCCTATAAAATCAATGTCAAGAAGCAAAATATATCCCTGTAACATGTTTTCTTAACACCCATTTGCGATTTGCTCCATTGATTTATGAAAGCAAGATTTTTTTCTGTGGTTCACACACATACAAGATCTTATGGAGGTAAGTGAACAATTTGAAAGGATATGCAAAAAGAATCTGCATTATCTGTTTTTATGTTATTATTGTTATTATTATTTGGCTGTGGTCATAGGCAAAATTTTTCATCACCTAATCTATTAAATTCATGAGCCATACAATTTTAAAAGTTATCATTCTCAGTCATACTGGATACTGCTTGAATTTATAAATTAGATAACTATGTGATATCTGAGAACTTACTTTGAACTGAAAGGTATTAAGTTTAAATTCTAGTTTGCATATTTATTTTACTAGCTGTGGTTTGAATAAATTATTTCTTTTCTCCCCAAGTTTCAGCTTTTTCTTCTGTAAAAATCTGCCTGATAATGCTTATCGTGGTGAGTAATTTTAGGGATGTAGGAAAATAGTAAGTGTTCAATAAATTGTAATCTTTATTCATCTATGTATGATTTAGATTGTTTGGAATTTAGAAAACAGCAGAACGTATTTTTTAATGCTTTGAATGAAAAGCTTTTCAATTTTGTCTTAGAAATTCCCTGTCCATGGTTGATCTTGATGACACCCAAGTGCTAGTTAAATCCCAGCATAACAATGTGATATATATATCCTTGGCAGAAATGTTATATATCATTTCTGAGTCGTTAAGAATGCAGTTGTAATGAGAAGAGTTTACAGAGATTAAAGCTCCAAGTAGCAGTTTGATATTAAAGCTCCAAGTAGCAGTTTTGATATTGTCATTAAAAATGATTCCAGATTAGAAAGTTAGAATGGCTAGACACCCGCAGGCCCTGCTGGGATTTGAACCCAATATCTCCTGAATTACAAGATAGGTGCTTTAGCCAACTGAGCCACAGAGCCAACCCTTTAGGAGGTAGGGCTTTTCTTCTAGTGGAATCACAAACAATTAGGTGAAAAATTGAGTTGCCGGTTAGGTTGTGGTGCGCTCTTTTCAGAAAATCTGACTCAGACACATGCATTCACACGATCCCTGAGAAAATATACTAGAACAAGCATGGAATGGGAGAGGGTGGAGATGAGAGAGTGCCCATGTTGGGGAAGGGGTTCCTCTGCGTGAGCCCAAAACAGTTTTTTATATCCAGGCAATTGTAGTAATTTAGAATCCAATGAGTGGGCATTGCAAACATGGAAGGCTCTTCTAACAAACTTGATCAGTTAAAACTTTTTATTGAAGTAATGGTATTTTGGCTGTTTGAAGGTGTCACGCTTTTGCAAAGCCATACTCTTGACACATTCAATTTCTTTAACAGCTGCCAGTCCGGACTTACTCGAGAAAGCAGAAGACAAGCCTGAGGAGGCTGCAGAATTTGAAAAGGACCAAAGATTCTCTAATGGTCCTCAATCTCCACATCTTCTTTCGTTGGGAGGGGTTCATCCCTTCTGGGGTGCAACTAGATTGTTT